CCTGCTTAAGAATATTGCCGTACTTTTGATCTGGATAATGCAAAATTCTGAAATCTAAGCATTTTTAGGTATAAGTATTATGACAATACTTACATATGATAACTTTATGACGCTTGCAATTTCTTTTTAATCTGGTACAATAGGTACAGACTTGCAACAAGAAATGAGAATTTGTTGTAAATAATTATTAGTAAAAATATTAGAGGAAAAAAATTAGAGGAAAAAAATTATTAGTAGTTTTGTAAATAATTTTTGGTTTTGTGATACCTGGTTTGCGAGATGGCAATTTTGAATTACTTCCATTAAACATTAATTAATTAATTAATTAATTAATTATATATATATATATATATATATATATATATATATATTTTGCGAGATGTGACAAAAACATCGAGGTCATTGGTTTAGACAATGACGATATAGATACTTGGTCTCGGATATAAACATGATTTCACATATACAAAGTGAGATAAAAAAGTGAAGCGAAATAGAAGCGATGATAATTCTTTGTTTGATAGCTTATGGATTAAATATGTTGTCTATGGTAACTTGTAGTAGCAGTAACATTAGGGACTTTATTTCTGAAAAAGAACGTCGTCGGCACGAGTTGATGTCATACCTTATTCATACTGAACAATCTCGTCACATTATTCGCATGGGACCGGAGGCGTTCATTAACTTGTGTCAACGAGTAAGGACAACTGGATTAGTAAATGATGGGTTACAATCAACAAGTGGAAGAACAAGTGGCTAAATTTCTCCATATTATCGGACATAACGTTAAAAATCGAACTGTTTCATTTTTTTCCATCGATCAGTGTGAAATCGTTAGTCGACACTTTCATAACGTGTTGAATGCGATAATAATGTTGGACGAACAATTAATTGTTCAACCATCAGGAAGGGATGTGTGTCCGTATATATTAAGCAACAACCGATTTTACCCATACTTTAAGGTAATGTACTTACCAACTTTGTGTCTATATAACATACACATAGATTGTCTAAACTTTAATGACAATAAATTTTTTACCCATTAGGATTGTTTAGGGGCAATAGATGGAACTCATGTTCGAGTTAAAGTCGCAAGATCGGATGCCCTCGCTTTCGTGGAAGAAAAGATTGGCCAACACAAAACGTATTTGCAGCTTGTGATTTCGACATGAAATTCACATATGTTCTAGCAGTGGTGGGAAGGAACAAAGATCTCGATTCAAGAATATTAAAGGATGTTCTTACGAGAGAGGATCGCCTTATCATACCACAAGGTTTATTATTTATAACATGCGGATTTTGTGTATAGTCAACTAGTTTAAATATTCTAATTAGTATAACTTCAATGATTTTAAATAGGTAAATACTACTTGGGGGATGCTGGATTTATGTTAAAAGCAAACATAATGACCCCTTATCGAGGCGTTAGATACCACCTTAAAGAGTATTCTCGACGAGCTCCACAAAACCCCCGAGAATTGTTTAACCATCGACATTCGTCTCTTAGAAATGTCATTGAAAGAACATTTGGAGTTTTGAAGAAAAGATTTCCTATAATAGCTAGTGGAACAGAGCCTCATTATTCATTTGATACAATGACGAATATAGTCCTAGCATGTTGCATTCTACACAATTTTCTTCGAGGGATAGACAACGATGAATCACTGTTAGCTGAAGTGGATCGAGAGTTGATGGAACAAGATGTGGATAATATGTCGACTCAAGTTCGGGAAGAGGATTATAGGGAAGGGTCAAACTTAAGAGATACTATAGCAAATCAAATGTGGATAGATTATCAAAGTCATTAGATTTTGTATATAATAATATATTTAATAAGATGTACTATTGTTATTGTTGAAATACGATTACATTACGATTATCTATTTATAATAATTATATGTTGGTATCGTAATTACATATATTATCTTTCCAATAGGTTTAAAATGAATAGAGGAAATGATATTGCACCGGATTCGTCACCTGTAGTGCGCGAGTTTACAAAATGGACTCGATGACATGGACTTTCGGTTGTTGATCGCTATGCTTGATGAGGCAAGGTTGGGTAATCGGGTTGATGGTAGTTGGACAACCCAAGCATATAAGAATATAGTTGAATCCCTAAGACAGTCTGGATTAATTGGTATAACTAAAAATAATGTTAAAAATCGACAAAAAAGTCTTAAGGATAGATGGCAGGAGGTCCACGATTTGTTTCATGGACTTAGTGGATTCGCTTGGGATGATATGACAAAACGGTTTGTGGCTGAGCAAGAAGTATGTGATGACCTAATTAAGGTACTATTATATGAATTATCATTTGTTGATATAGCAAAACATAACAATTACGAGTGTTAACCATTCTCATTATTTTGTAGGCGAAGCCTTCTGCATCTAAATGGAAACTGGCAACTATAAGACATTATGATTTGATGGAAGAATTGTGGGGTGCTGATCGAGCCAGTGGACATATGGCAAGAACTTCGCGTCAGGCCCGAATGAATATCAGTTCTCGAAGGGCAACAGTCGACTTGAACGTTGATGTGGACCCCACACCAGAGGAGCAGCCATTTCACTTTGGCTTTGATGCAGGATTTGATACAGCTTATCGATCACCTCCACGCATGGGTTCCGACAGTCCTGCTGAGGGTGCTCACTCAATTCCATCTGCTGCATCTACTGGTTCAGGTGGAACCTCTTCATCTCGGGGCACAAAAAGAAAAGCGCCTATGGTTGATGTGATGGAAGGTCAATTTGACAAACTAACAACGAGGCTGGAAACATTTACAGATTACCTCGGGCAAGGTAATACATTGACCCAACGATTATCCGACATAGCCGAAAGACAGGTGGTCGCCATTGAACGCAGAAATGAATTAATTAATGAGCAAGTTAATGTGATGAGACGATCATCAACATTTCAACATTCGGAGTCGATATATGGGACATGTTAGTCTAGCATGAACCTAAATGACGAAGCAACTTATGCTTCAAGTGTTATAATCATTTGTGTACTCACCCATCACATGTTAGACGACTTTTTGGCTTGCCCTCACATCTTCGTCTCTCTCAGCTTGTTCATGTTCTTGAATGGAGGTGATTGAATGATCTCGAACCTGGAGGACTTGACTACAAAAGATGGATAACATTATAATTATTTGTTTGAAGAACATTAGTGTGCATAGATTTATAATTTTAGTAATCTTTCCTTTAATTATTATTCTATTTTCACTGTATTTTATATTTGTTTTAAATAATAATGTACAATTATATTATTAGTTTTCATAATTATTTGTTATTATCAGATCAATATTAATTATTATTTTATATTTTATAATTATTTAATTATTAGTCAAATAATTTATTTAATATGTCAACATTATTTGAATATGGATATGCAATGTACATAATTTTGTAATTGTTTATTTATATAATTTTTAATAACTATCTAAAAAAAGTTAATTTTTTAAATTTGTTTCCAATTACAAACACTTTTAAATTTGTTTTTTCTTTTAAATATATAATCAATGTTAAAATATGGATAATTAATTAAAAAATTATATTTATAATCATTTGAACCTTATTTTATACAAAGGGTAAAATGATTATTTTTTTAAATAATCAATTAAAATTATAATTTTTATATCTCATATCAATCAAATCATTCACAATTTCCTATAAACTTTCCTTTCACTTTCCATTCATCCAAACAACTTTAACTTTATCTCCATTTCTCTTCAAATCCCTCCTTTTCCATTCTCTCATTTCCACTCTCTCGAATCACTTCAACCAAACAAAGCCTAAAAGTTCCTTCCATACCAACATGATTCATTATGTCAATATGAAACTGCGATGATATATTCCTCGCAAGTCAACCGAAAGAGACATATGTCAAAATAGATAAATATTATCACAATAAATTTCAAATCAACATTTTTGTTTCTAACCAAAATTATATATATATATATATATATATATATATATATATATATATATATATATAATCTATTTAAAAATCGATAGACTTTCTTATGCTTTCTTAGAAAAATATTAAAACATACATTTATTTTGTTGAATCCTAATTATCTTTTAAATAACTCTTCTTGGTGTTGTACGTAATTTTGCATAATAAATTTCTAACCCCTTACAAAGTACTAAAGTTATGTGTTTATTTTATGTCATGGAATTTTTATAGGCTTTGTAATCAAATATTTATCTTTTAATAGTTGGTAACAAGGATTTTTGTCAAAAGACACGCATGTCCAATAATTTATTCAAATACATTCATTGTAAGCACACTTCTTTTACATCGATATTTTATCCTTTTTCGTGCATAATGTTACTGACTTTTTTTCATTGATCATAACTATCTCATTTTTTATTAAGAAACATGATATTAAGAAACATGATATTAAGAAAATATGATATTATTATCAAAACAAAATTTTAAATATTAAATTATAAGTTTTTTTATTTATAAAATATTAATTTTTTCAAACTCATGAAGAGAGAATCAATAAAGAGCTCTTAATAATATTTGTAGTCGATAAAATAATTGGATCAAAGATTTTATTTAGCCAATATATCTATTTGGTTACAAGAGGTGTAAGGAAAAAAATGGATAAAAGTTTATAATATTGAAACTTTTAAAAGACGAAAAATAATGATTAAAATAAACTTATATTTAAATTAAAAATAATATAATATTATAATAAAACAATTTAATTTATAACGGAATAGAATAGTGAAAGAGGAGTTAGATCCTTCAAATTCGTATGGGGCTGGAACGTTCCACCACCCTCCACGAATTCAACCACGCGTCGCGCTCCCTACGATTCTTCTCCTCTTTCTCTCGACGTCACAACACGTTCGTCTTACACGACCACCGCTTCGGGAAAATTCCCCTTTTATAAATAACGCAATAAACATGCTCCATAAACGACCAAAGGAGAAAAGAGAAGACAAAGTTTCTGTTTTTTTCTTTAAGATTGGGCAATAGAACGACTATGGCTAGCGATGGGAGCGAGGAGTTCAGGTTAGTGTCACCGTCGTTCAGCAACGACGGGAAGCTGCCGCGGAACTACACGGAGGAGGGGCAAGGGGCGAAGAAGAACATATCCCCACCGTTGGAGTGGTACAACCTGCCGCAGGGGACCAAGACCATGGCGCTGGTTGTGGAGGACATCGATGCGCCTGACCCCCAGGGACCCATCGTGCCCTGGACGCACTGGGTGGTGGCGAACATTCCGGCGACGGTGAAGGGGCTGCCGGAGGGATTCTCCGGGAAGGAGATGGGCGGGGAGTACGCGGGGATCAAGGAAGGGAACAATGACTTGAAGGTGCCAGGTTGGTGTTGCCCTAAGTTGCCCACGCATGGCCACAGGATTCAGTTCAAGCTCTATGCTTTGGATGATGAGCTTCATCTTGGGAACAAGGTACTATATTTCTTAGGAATTCTTGAAAGAAATACTTATTTCACAATTTTTATAGTTTAGTTTCGCGTTTTTTCTTTTTCTCATTAATAAATTTAGACCATAAGACTTGTACATGAATTGTTTGTATATACTCCTTTTGTTTGGTTTCTTCAAGATGGAAGATAGTGATTGAAAGCATATTGGAACTTTGTGATGTTCTGTGAATTGTATGTATTTCTTATTTATGATGCATTTTTTTCAGGTGACAAAGGAAAAGTTATTGGAAGATACCATACAAGGACATGTTCTAGGAGAAGCAACCTTGATGGCTAAATTCTGATATGTAATTTTTGGGTGAATTGTCTTTAACTAGTATATGTACAATTTTGAAATGTAAAATAAATGTTTTCTCAAAGCTCATCATCTTTCTTTAATGAAATTAAGAAATAAGCTAGAAACCATTGATATAACAAACAAATGATGTTAAAATTCAATTTCTGACTTTATAAACCTAAAACCTAATTACTTGCTAATGATGTTATTATCTGTTATAATAATGCTCTTATCAAGATAACCAAGTTTGACATAGAAATCATATTCATTGAAGGTCTCATAAGCAACCAGAATTAGAAGCTCTTTACTTTTAAGAATAATATGATCTCTATTATCTTGAGAATATATTCATATATTTTTTATGATGTGAATTATATTTTTGATAATTACCTTTTCCTTTTTCTTTTCTCAAAATTTACAATAATTAGGATTGTTACAATAGAATAGATGATATTATAGTTAAAGATAACACTTCTGAAAAACACTCATTTTCAGTATATACACTTTAATATTTTGTATTTATATTATAATCTCTTACTTTGTTGGAAATATTTTAAGATTCATTGATATATTATATGTAGATAGATTATGAGTTATGAATATATCTAAATGTATTATATATTACTCTAATAGCTATATTAATTTAGCAGCTATCATTGATACAAAAGAAATAAAAGTATTATTAAATTTATTTATCTCACTATTTGTTATAATTATTTATTTTCAACATAATATAAAAGTGCGATCAATTCTTAAATTTTAATTTTATTTTTTAAAACATGAAAAATATCAAATTATATTAATATGTTTTTTATTAATTATATTACAAATAAAAATATAAAATTTTCATTGAACCAACAAACAGTTTTATATCCTCTTGACAATATCATGTGTAATATCATTATGTTATTTTAAATATAATATAATTATTTAACACAACAAGAAACAAATTCTATTTTGACCACCCTTTCTATCAAAGGGTCACAGTTTAATTCTTTTTAATTTTTAAAAGCTTAAATATCAAGAAGCTGTGTAGAACGACTTCTATGAATATGAAACAATAAATAGTATAAAAAGTCGTGATCATGTTATATAATACGACCTTAATATTCATTTTTTTTATTACGACTTCATATATATATATATATATATATATATATATATATATATATATATATATATATAATTATCAATTTATTGACTATATATTTTAATCTATATTTATTTTAAATTTCATATAATTAATATATTTATATAGTTAATAAATTTTGTATTTATATTTAAAACATTATATATAGTTTATAATATTTTAAAATATATAAAAAAATTAATTAATTTTTTAAACTTATATTTCTATATATTTAAAATTTATATAGATATAATTTTGATATAATATTATTGAAAATTATATTACATATATTATACAATTTTTATATAGATCCACATAAAATTATTTACTTCTTTTAAATAAAATTAATTTCTATATAAATATTGTATTATATATATATTAATGATTCCTAATTAATTTTATATATAAATTATTAATTTTTTAGAAAATAAATTAAATATAACTAAAATTCTAGACATTAATGTTAATTATTTTTAATTAAAATTATATTACATAATACAATTTTAATTTAATTATATTCGATTATAATTAAAATATATAATAACACGAATTTAAAATTATATTAAGTAACACGATCTCTTTATTTTATATTTTAAAAATTATTCTATGAAACCTCACTTTTTTTCATTTTTTATAAAATAATAAGAGTGTCTGACTTTTTGTCAAGATGTCTCATTTTAAGTCAATGTTTAATGCTTTATTTAAGGCTTTTTATTTATGGGTTAGAGGGAGGATATATAAGTAAAATAATCGGTATATCAAAATAAGAGTGTATCATTTCATATTTAAGTCGATATCATTAGGTTGGTCCGTATGAATATGAATAAGAAAGTCTCTCGAGATCAATATTCCATTTCATATTTCATTTCATAACAGTGTATCGTAATATTAATATCTTATTTCATATTTCTTGTCTATTTTAAAATTTTAATTTATTTTAATATTATTTTTAAAATTTGATTGATGAATTACGAAAGAAATATATATAATTTTAAAGGTTGTATATGTAAAACACCTGTGGAGTAATAACTATAAGCAACATATTAATATTATTTTTAAAATTTGATTGATGAATTAAGAAAGAAAAATATATATAATTTGAAGGTTGTATATATATAAAATACCTGTAGAGTAATGACTATAAGCAACATATCCCTTCACCCATCTTTGAGGCAAATTGATGAACTAATGTAATTTGTTTTGTTTATTCGTAAAATGGATAAATTTTTAAAAAATTATGAATATGGGTAAATCATATTTTGATATATGACTTTTGTTGAAGTTGGGCACAATTTTTCATGTAATAATTTTTTTTGTTTTGTTTTTGTTGAAGTTAATGTTTCAATAAACGACTTCACTATAATTTTTTAAAACTCATATATTTTTAAATTAAATATTTATTTTTAAATATTACAAATTTTATTTAATATTTACAAAATTAATAAATTAATTAATTATTATTTAAATATCTATAATATTAAATAATTTTTAAATATATTAAATTATTAAAAAGAAAATATGTTAATGAGGAAAATATGTACGTATTATAAGAAAATGAAATTTTATATTTTGATTGTCAAATATTCAATTACCACAATTACTATGAAGAAGATCTTCATTTCAACAAAATAAACATTTTATTTATTTATTTGAAACATATTCATCTATTACATTATGAATGTGATTTGTTATTAGTCTTTGTGATTAATGTCGTAGACTTAGATTAAGAATAAATTTTGGACCTAAATAAAAATATCAATAATTTTTGTTTCAAATTGGGTGAAACTATACCATATGAGCTTCTTGTAGATAGTTTGTAACTTGTACACTAGGTCAACATTTTAAATATTTTGTAACTTATACGTCGGGTCAACACGTAAATGACAATATGAACATTCATGAGAGCAAAAAGATAAAAGATATTGAAATTTTTCACAATCACACCACAAATAATTTTAAATTTGATTATATAATATGTGGAATGTATACAATGTTAAAAATTTGATACTTTTAAACATCAAACTAAGAATTTTGTAAATAATTTAATATATTTAAAGATTATTTGATATTATTAATATCTAAATAATAAATAATTATTTTTTTTAATAAATATTATAATTAAACCTTTTCTAAATAAAAATAAACAATAAAATAAAATATATGAACTAAAATTGTTAAATAATTGATAATTTCAATATAAAAAAAATTTAACTAAAATCATCAATCGATTGACGACTTTAGTATTAATAATCAGTTATTAACACAAAAAAAAAAACAATTCAATTAAGATCATCGTTCAAAAAGACAACTTCAATAAAAATAATTATAATAAAATTATATATTTACTTAGAAAAAAATACATCTTTCATCGTATATAAAAGCATAACTTATCCATTATCAATTTTTTAAAATTTACCCATTTTAAAAATTTGCAAAGGAAATTACACGGGTAGAGGAAATGGACCCATCTTTTAGTGTCCACTATGTACAGATTAGGCCAAACCTCTTTATGGTGGTCTTATACGTGTCACATGTGAGAAGAGAAATCTCACATTAGGAAAATTGTACATTGGTGCTTACTTTTTATAAAAAAGAGTACAATGTCTATCTTATAAATTACCTCAAATCTCTTCTTTCTCTTTTCTATTAGTACATTGTATAATAATTGAATTATCTTATTTTTGAGAGAGAATATTATTATTATTATTATTATTATTATTATTTTCTCCTTAGATTTAAAGAATTATTGTAATTTCTTCGAGCGAGATAAAATTCTATTATTGTTTATTGTCGATTGTTTGTCTTTTCTCATCTTTTATTTTAGCACTACAAGAAAAACACTAAATAGTGACCGAAAATTTGGTCACTAAATGACCAAAATCGGTCATTATTTCCTTGATCATTAATTTTAGTGACTAATTCGATAATCGAATCGATTGATTGATTCGATGACCGAATCGATGACCGAATCGCTGACCAAATCGATGACCGATTCGATGACCGAATCGATGACCGATTCGATGACCGATTCAATGATCGATTTAGTGACAAAATCAGTTGATCGATTCAATGACTCGATTCTATGACCGATTTTATGACCGAATGAATCTATATGACCAAATTGGTCATTATATCGATCACCAATTTTATTTTATTTTTTTATATTATTTTTAAAATAATGATAAACCCGATTAAGAAATATGAAATACATTATATATTATATTAAATATATGAAAATTTCACTACCTAAGATAACCATGAAAATAATACCACAAATTTTGTTCTAAATAAATTCATCATTCATGAATTAAATACTTTCTTACATATTGAAAATTTAATCTAAAAGTAAGTAGAATAAACTAAAATAAGAGTTATAATTCGGAAATGTCGAAACTAACAAAACAAATACAATATACCAAATAGAATCAGTTCACAATTCAGGAGGTTGAACATCCATCTTCTCCATCAAGAGGAGCAACATTTTATCAATTTTCTGAATTTGTCTCTCATTAGTTAACATTCTTTCACGGAGATCATCCCTTTCAGTCTCAACTTCCTGTAACTTGTGTTTTAATTGTTCAATCTCCTCTCTCATAAGCTGGACAGATGATGAAGTAGAGTCGTGACAAAGATTTCTCCCAATTGCTTTGCTTGACTCAGATCCAAGCTCATATATTTTGCCTTTGTTTATTCTAGCAACTTTACACCAAACCTGTAATTCATCAGGCGGAGAGCCTCCTGCAATAGATCCTGATTGGGAGGCTTCTTCCCATGCACAACTAAACTCTTCCTATAAACATTAAAATAGAATAGTAGTGAATTGGATAAAAACATAAAAAAGGATACAATTGTTTAAGAAATTAACATAAGAAGAAAAACAAGGAACTTACATCCACATGTGCTGATCTTTGATCCACCCATGTGTTATCCTTTTGTTTGTGTGTTTTGCGAAACAACTCTGATGAGGTAGGCGATTTTCCATTCAACTTTATCTAAAATATGGTTAAAAACAAAAACTTAGAAGTGCAATATCCACCATAAAAGAAAAGAGGTTTTTCAAGTCATGACAATAGGTAATGTAATAACTATTTTTCTCTTCCATCATAAACAACACCATGCAATCAAATTTGAACTAACTAGTGTACATTCTTTCCACACCTAAATGTAGTCCAGGGTTCCATAATTCACATATACATTATAGGTTCAAAAGTACAACATATAAGACCAATACATGCATAAAGGAGTATAAAGCAAATTGTACCAAATGTTCTGTATGTTGAGAAGTGCTAATGGAGCCACCAGTATGGAGTGAAATTCCAAATCCATCACAATCAGAAGCTCGATTTGCTCTTGCAATCAAATTTTTTACTTTGAATTGTTTTGATCCCCAATGTTGGCACAAGATATCCCATACATCTTCTGCAAGCCAATTTGGCTTCTTCATTATCATGCGTGCCTTGTTTAGTGAACTTTTTGAAAGTGATACTAGCAAAGATCTCAGTGATTTGATGAAGTCAAAGATAAAGTCAAAGGTCAACTCTGCAACAGTCAAACAAGTCACTCAGAAGAATGGAGCTGAAGACTTAGTGTGTCTTAACAGAAAGCTTAGGTAAAACCACTTTACCTTTTCCACTGCATGAAGCTCCTTCACTCAATTTGCAAAATGCCTCAAAAATAGTTTTAAACAAATCAAACAAAAGCATTTTGACAAAGAACTTTCTTAACAATGTTTTTAACTGATATAGTTTTAAAAGAAACAATTAAAATCACTTAGAATGCGTAAAGAAGTGTTTTTGCAGTATTTTAATCGATACAAACTTCTTTTAATCGATTAAAACCCTTTATGACCGATTAGAATTCGAATATGACAGGTCAGAATGAAATATAATCGATCAGACTTTAAAAATGAGCGATCAGATCTATTTTAATCGATTAAAACACGTTTTAATCGATTAAAACCACTTTGGAAGTCAGGATGATCGATCAGAATGAAATTATGACCGATCGAGTTGGTTATGATCGATCAAAATTGAATTATGACCGATCAGACTTATTTCAATCGATTAAAACGAACTTTCAATCGATTAAAAAGACTTGAAAATTTATGTGCAGATTTTCAATCGATTAAAACGATCAGTATATCGACTAAAATAACTTGGAAAGTTTTATAAGAAGGTTTTTAAGCAAATCAATCGATTAATACGCGAATCAATCGATTGAATTACTCTTTGAAAATGTTTGTAAAATGTTTTAACTGATAAAAACGTGGTCGTATCAGCTAAAACAATTTTGTTAAAGAACAAGAACGCATTAATGGGTTGAAAGGACTTTTAACAGATTATAACGGCTATTTCAACAGATTAAAACAAACTTTCAACAGATTAATTAATGCAGCTTTTTCTGAAAACTCTTTTAAAAACAGATTTGCTTGGAACTTTTTACATATCAGTTTTCATACAAACTAAGCAATCAATTCAAGCAACTGTTAAACATTCTTTTCCAAGAAAGATTCGCAACTGTTTTGTGAACTTCTTTTGAAATCTTTCTTGAGGCTTATTGCATTCTTTGAAGGAGGAACTTACAGTGGATAAGCGTAATCCGGTTTGAGCTTTCTAAGTTTCTTCTTTTCAATTGCTTTTCATTTCTTTTGTATTGTGTTGTACCTGGAATTTGGGTACAAGTTTTCTGCAGCTGGTAGGTGGTTGTAGAAGTTTCCAAGAACTGGAATTTGGTTCTTGGTGGTTGAGTACATGAACTGGAATTTGGTTCTTGTACTGTGTGGTGCCTGGAATTTGGGTACTGGGTTCTCTGCGGCTGGAATTTGGTTGCAGAGGTTTCCAAGAACTGGAATTTGGTTCTTGGTGGAAAGGTTGAGTACAAGAACTGGAAGTTGGTTCTTGTGTTAGAGTAGGTGTAAGATTATTGAGTCTGTAAAACATCTATTCTAGTGGAACCCAGCTGGAATTTGGCTGGTGACTGGACGTAGCCCTGGTAGTGGGTGAACCAGTATAAAATTACCGGTGAAATCTTTCCTAACCTTTCTCTCTTTAATTTCAGTTGCTGCGCTTGTATTGTTTAATTGCTTTGTGATTCGTGAATTGATTAGTAAACTTAATTTTCGAATTAGATAATCTGTATTTTGCGAAAAACTTTCAAAGATCAATTCACCCCCCCTCTTGATCTAAAACTACTTTTCTAACACTTTTCAATATGTTGGCACCTCGCATTTCAAAGTTCCTTCTAGCCAACCTATGATCAGGTGGGAAAATATTATATTTTCTCTATACCCAAAGAAAACAAGTAAATGTTATAGGACATTCAATATTTGAAACTTATTTTAAAGTTAAGAACTAATATAAATATATACCATGAACTCACTAAACCACATGTCTCGAATATCTTGAGGTACATTTTTCCATGATGGCCATGCATCAGTGTAATGGCTTTTGAAAATATCACCAATGGTAGTAGCTACAAAGTATGAAGGCAAAAATCTACAACAAAAATAAAGTGATAAAGTACAAGTTGTACATAGAATATGAACAAAATATAACATTGTTAAAATTTAAGTGATTTACCCATATCCATCAAGTGTTAAAATGGGTTTCTCACAAGTGCTCTGAACATCTGATACATTGTGATCATCATGAGAAACAAATGGGCCTTGAGTTTGAGGGTTAGATGCTTGAAGACTTTATGGGGAAGGTGTCTCATGATTGTGGTCCTAATGGTGGAGAAGTTAATGGAAGAGATTTAGAACTTCCTCCAAGTGGTGGAGTACGACCAATGTGTGGTCCAATAGAAGGGACTTCTATATACTTATTTTGTACTGAAGGGGTAGAACTAACATGTTCTGCAATATTTCCAACTAATAGATGTGCAACTTGTGGTCCAACCATGTTATTTCTTGGTAATTGATTGAATTGATGCTTCATCAAACGACTTTTTAAAATAAGCTTGGTTTTTCTTTTGTCTGACATCTACACATGTAACAAAAAAGAACAAAAATGTGTAAGCAAAAAACATATTTAATAAGTAATAGTAATGAATTAAATAATAACATATTTACTAAAATGTTTGAAAAAAAAAATAATTGATAGGAACATTATTAACTGTACTTATAATTATTAAATACTCATCGAAATGAAAATACAAAAATCATTCATCATCGTCATCATTATCATTATAATCATCATCATTAACATTACTTTCTTCATCAAAATTATATGACTCATCAGCATTCTGATCATCATCATCAGAGTTGTAATCATCATCAAATTCACTTTCCTCATCATACTCTTTTTTTATTGATTTCTGCATCTTCCACATTATATTCATTGTGTCCATTTCCATCAAGTAATTCATTCTCTACTAGCTCTTCAGGTTCACCTTCATTGTCTCTTAATTAACCAAGTACTTCATCATTTGACACAAGTTGAGTATTAGAAAGACCATGTTGATAGGCAAC